AATAACCTTACTTACTGTCATATTTTAGTTTAACTCACCTTATTACCGACACTAAAATCACAGATCAGTTCTGTGTTCTTGCCTCATCCCATCCATTATTTATCCATATCGCAAAGCCATCCAGTTGTTTGTTTCATCGCACTTTCACTGTCTTTCTCTTTTAAGTGAGAATCGCCTATTCTGTACAGCTCTAATAATATTAATAATAACCATACTTAATAGGAAGTGTTAAAGAAACATTTCAGATAGAGTTTATTATTTAAGAACCTTGATGACTCAGAAGAAGTAATTTAAAAATTTCATGTTTTTTTATAACCAATAAATATCTTTTAAGTTGATTGGTAAATCCTGTTTCAATATGAATCATGGACAGTTGGCAAATTAATGAAAAATTAAGCATAAGCAGCAAAGATGTGGTTTTGTAGACAAGTGATAACACCCTGGTCAGATAACAAGAGTATTGAAGATGTCTTGAAAGAAATCGGTTCATGAAGAGAACTGATTGCCAACATCAGAAGGTGACACTCTACATTCTTTGATCATATTGTGAAAGAGAGAAAACGTGCATCATTGCGGTGGGAAAAATATGCATAAAGAGAGAGACAAAGAAAATACGCTGGACGGTCTAAAAATATTGTATTTGTCTAAGTTGATAAGTGCACAGACGAGACAGAAGGTTGTGGAAAGACATGATTACAAATCCGACATGGTATGGACTGTTCGAATAATTAGTTGTTTGGTGCTAAATGAGTTAATGACAATGTGTATGATTCTTTTCCTTTCAGAATTGAAATCAGGATGTCAAGAATCTCCCTTTGAAAGAAACAAGCTGAGGATTTATTTTACAAATTTTTTATAACATGGCTTACAACTACCCCTACAGAGGATATCCTCCTCCAAACAACCCCAGATTGATGATTCCTCCACCAAACATCCATACACAGCCGAGATTCAATAATAACTCTCCTTGGAATCAGCCTCCACCTCGGTCCATGATGCCACCTCCACCGCCTCCATCCGTGATGCCCCCTCCACCACCTCCATCAATGATGCCACCACCTCCATCAATGATGCCGCCCCCACCACCTGAGCAATCACAGTATAACATTTACAACTTTATGCAGCCACCACACATGATGCAGAGACCCAGCTTCCCACCCAGTAATGTGTTTCCTAGGGGTCCTTCTCACCTATCACAGAGACAACAGTTTAGCCCGGACAATACATTCGCTCATGAAGCATCCAGTCGACCACATGAAAATTTTCCATTTAACAACAGCGGGCCTAGTTTTCAGAGCAATGGGCAACATTTCCAAGGTCACCGTGGTCGAGGAAGAGGTTTTGTGGGAGGTCACTCAAGAGGTCAAAGCTTTCGAGGTGGTTTTCGTGGAGGTATGCATAATGGAAATCAGAACATGCACAACGGGAATCAGAAAAATTTTAATAAAACAAAGGTTTGTCTATTTATTATGATAGTAATTTCTTGTGGTCTTTACCTCCCAAAACTTATATTGTTTATATTAAAGTTATTCACCAAAGCCTGGGACTATTTGTCAGGGATGCAAAGGGGCTGAAACATTTGTTATGGTTTTATTTATGCATCTTTTTGCCCCCTACTAGAATGGCCTTTTCCTTCTTGTATCTATTTGTAAACTCTCTGCACAGGGTATAAGATGTGATCTTTAACCCTGTCACCTGGGGAAGCCTTAATCTAGTTACTTCTGGTTGTGACAGTCAGGTAAATGCTGTTTCTTAAAAAGCAAAATTAAATTCAGTTGCACCGGTGCTGCATTTATGTGGCCTAGGTGTGAAGATATTTACTAAAAATAGCATTTAGAGGGTTTTTTTTATGAACCAAATAGCTTTCTTATAAGCCATTTTGATGTCACCATTTTCTGTAGCATCAATGATTGAGATAACATGATTGTTTAGTCTTCGGGAATGTATTTCATTTAATGTTTCACTCTATTCAAGACTACTTCCATTTTATATATACAACTAACATTTTAGTCCGCAAAACGAGAGTGACTTTCCTTCCCATTCATGCCTCATTGAGTCGCAGGGCCTCTCCTATGTTGCAGGGGTGTTATATTATGGCTTCGCTCGGTGTATATAATGTTTGTGGGAGGTTGTGTTTTCGTGAGTCTCTGTGAGGCACCGCAGGCGCCTTTGTACAAGTAAGAAGTACTGCATGGGGAGCGTCGCATGCCAATGGTTCGTGTCTATCAAAACTGGAATTTTTTTGCATTATTTTTTTTTATCTATGCTCTTTGGTGGTGCAACCCTCCCCATTGAAAAAGAAGCTACTGACAAGGAACATTGGAATAAAAAAACATCAGTTTCACTACTACTGAACCATCTTACAAGTAGCAGCACATGAAAATAATGACGCAAATGAGGGATGACAACACGAGAAAAGAGAGCACTATGAAATGGTTGACATAAAGTATACATGACACCCCACAACATAGGAAAGACTAGGCGACCTAACGAGCCATGAATGGAAAGGGAAGCCAGTCTTTTTGTGGACCAAATCCTTACGTTTACAATGTATATTTTATTTTAAATGTAGATATACACTTAAAAAAAAATATTAGGGACCTGTATAAAATGGTTATCTTTTAAGTATTTTTTAGAGGGCAGGGTTGTTGACCCTCTTTTTATGTTTTGCATTTCCAGGGTGAAAAAGTTTAATCTTTAGGGGACTTGATACATGTATGAGGAGCTGTACTAGTGCATTGGCTAGCATACTCGCGTGCCAGCCCAGTGATCACTAGTTTAAATCTTCAGTGATGTGGTGGTTTTTGAATTGATCTGTACATCCAGATGCCTATAAATGCTACAGAAAAATTCTTGGAATACTGTGGACTAAGAAAAAGAAAAACGTCGGCTTCATACAGGATCAGAACTTTGAGGAGAATTGGCTTATAAACAGCATCCTGTCCCAAAAGATGAGGTATTTTGGCTATGCTAAATTTCATGATGACCTGGATTTGATAGTAATGGAAAGTAGTTTCCCAAAAACGGGGCAGTCGCCGCCCTCCTTAAAGGTGAATGCAAAAAAAAAAAGTCAAGATGCACTGGCTTTGAAAGCACATAGGGCTGGAGACTTTCAGGTGTGCCGTGATGAGGGTGAGATTATGTAAAGGACCTGCAATCATGACTTGCGGGTAACCCAGTCTAAAATGATGTAAGGAAATGTTCAGAGAAATAAGGATGACTGGTATGCTGTTAAGCAGATCACCTACCATGTTGAGGTAAATGCCACAGATATTATCATAATTTGTAATGTTTTAAGCTATGAGGTAAATACCCCCCTCCTTCCCCACACCCAGTCAGTCACAGTGGAAATGAGGTAAATATCTCACACATTCACTCACCTTGAATGATTTTAAGCACAGCAGTGAATAAATATATTTTAATTTGAAAAACTGTTAATTGTTTGCTTCATCATTTTTATTGATTTTAATATTTTTTTGGTACTTTGCAGAAGGAAAAAGTGGACAAAAGAGACCTTCCAGAGAATAATGCATACTTCTGTGATATTTGTGACCGTGGGTTCAAAACTGAGGAAAAATACCAGGAACATGTCAATGAGCACATTAAGGTTTGTCGGTGTCTAATATTTTAGGTGGGTCATGGTAGATCCTTGGGGAAACTCTCTTTGCTCTTTACACTTCTCCAGCACTTTTTACAGCTCTTTATGGATGTTAGGAACATCTGCTAGGTAATTGAAATGCTGCGCTTTCTTTCAGGAAACTCAGGGTTTATATTTTGGTAAAGAGATAAATGTTTTTTTTTCTGTTGAGGGCACAGATAACAAATCTGACGTACAGTTTATTCACTAACAGTGCTGCTTTAAATTACCAGACTCAAGTACACCCATATATATATTCACCCTATCCTTTACAAAAATAGATAGGTAAATACTGGCTGTGTAAAGTCTCTGTAATATAATGAATACTATATTTAATGGCCTGCTTTCACCTGGGATAGTGAAAGAGTTGTGTTACCATCTCGGTCTCCACCGCTGCCAAGTGTGCAGTAGAAACTCCAGGAGGGGGGAGCCTTCTGTCGTTTCTTTTGAACTCAGTTGTTTTCTAAACCCATTAGTGTTGCATTTAAGTGCATGTCTGGTGATTCTCTGAATTTTCCATAGCAAATAAAATTTTACAAGATGTGCAAGCTGGCCTCTGAGTCCTGTCCAAGGTGAAGTAGCAGGAGCGACCTAGACCAGTTCTTTCCATAGTTAACGCTACTGCCACCTTGAAGGCCCTTTGATGTGATGGAGCAATGACTCGGGGCATGACGCAGAGTTAAAAACAGCATGTCAGCAGTCCCCCACATCCTCTAATGCGCCCATCTTACAGTCTATGTTTCAAGGGAGATAACACAATTTAATTTAAAAAATGTATGTTAGGGATGTACGAGGGAAAAAATATTAAGCAAGATGTAACTGCAGCAAAGGTTTTTTTAAAAAGGGATTGTTACAGGAAAAAAAAAAGATATGCACAATAGATTGGCCGCTTATGAGACTGTTAAATTAAACTTTGTGGCCATAATGGCATTGAAAAGTTAACCTGTATATTTTTACAGTTGGGGAGGAGTTTACAGTTTACTTGAAATGAACACAACACAGAATGGGTTATGATTTATAATGAATATAAGACAGGAGAGAAATTGTCATTGAAGATTATATAATCTGGCTATCCTCCGAATAGCGGTCCCAAATTATCAGGGCTAAGAAAATACCCTAACAGGGCCTCTGTCTGTCATATGTAAATTGCGGACCTTTTTCCGGCGACTATACCCCCACTGCCGAGAGTATACTTTGTGCCGCACTTAGCGTTGCGGGAAAAGCTCTCTGCGGTATAGTCACCAGAAAGAGGTCCGCAATTTACACATGACTGAGGCCCTGTTAGGGTATTTTCTTGGCCTCGATAATTTGGGACCGTTATTCGGAGGATAGCCTATAATCTGCATCCCAATGTTAGAAATAATTTTTTGTTGCTTCAAAGCTCCCACCTTGGCTGTTGCTGGGAGACCTTATATTACCCAGCTTATAGGTTGAACAGGGTTTCTGAGACCTGTCCCCGGGTGACTCATCCAAATAGTGGCAGTTTGTATCAAAGGGTACTTATTGCTTGATGTGATGTCCTGGTGGAATTGAACATCAATCTGCCCTTGAAATAGGCATAAAAATCCACTCCAATATGGGACGCAGTTTTTGTGTTAGTTTTAAAGACACACCCTGGCTGTTGTTGGGGCCCTAAATATAACTAACGGGGTTTCTGTGAAATGTGTCTGGGTGATTCTCATCTAGTGGTGGCACTTTGTGTCACTGGGTGTTTATTGCGCGGTGCTGGTGGGGTTGAAAGTCAGTCAATCAGAAGGACACAACATTAGCAGTATAAAATATAGACAATTCTTCTTCATTCATGTTCCCTGTCTGTAAACTTAGGCTTAGGATAACAGGATAATAGAACCATTGCCTCCTCAGCGAGCATGTTGTAGGAGTCGACTAATTAGGGACTTCCTTCAAAGTCGGAATGCATCTGCTCGAGTGGCAAGGGACAACCAACTATTCACAGATAAATCAGTAAAATGAATGCACATACTCAGGCACTGGCTCAAAGCCAAAGTCCGAATGGGCGAACAACCAGGACTTTTTGCAGGAGTTTACATCAGGGGAACAAAGAAGAAGAAAGGTATTGGACTTCTAAGATGGGGAATTTAGGGAATTCCCCAAATCCTGTAATATCAGTTCTTAGCTGTAGTCATATTTTCTTGATAGGAAATGACTTCTGATGCTATATAGTTCAAACAGCTATGCTTACATAACTAACATATTTGAATGTGAAATTTCTTTTTTCCTCTGCAGTGTTCATTTCAAGACTGCCCTTTCATCGGAGCGCCCAAGTTAGTTCAACTGCATGCACGTATGGTAAGTCTGGTGTTCATGTTGTGCTATAGTATTTAATTGTCTGTTGTACTGTGCGCATGGTTATTTATGTTGCAATAATTGTATGGTTGTTATGTTATGTTATAGTTTCAGTGTTGATTTTCTTGTGATCTTTAAGGCATCCATCATCTAGTTGGTCTGTGTGGTCCTGTTTTTGTTTCCTTTCATTTTGAAATAGGCATTGATCATCAGCAAAAAGCAGCTCACTGAAGTCTTCTTGTTCATTGACACCCAGTTTGTATTGTCTTTATTATTTTGCAATCAGTAAAAAGAAAAGTCAAAGCTTTTGAGTTTAATAATTGCAGAAAGATTCTTGAGCATCCTGGCAAAGAAAAAAAATAATTATAACATTCTTCAGGATATAAAAATCAGGGGAGGGAAATTCATACAGAGTATTGTTACTTAGAAATGGAAATAGAAAAGCCATATTAATTGCCATTGTGTGCATCTTTTACGTCTTTCCAGATGATGATGATATTTTGTGCTTTGGGCAGGGGTGGGAATCACAGACCATGGCAAGGGCGAGTGTGACTAGCAAGACCCACATGTGTTCAGAAAAGCTGTTCCACAATTAGAGCTTGGGATTTCTAGACCATTGTTGCCATCACATTTTTAGTGTGTTTCTTGTCAGATGCCTAACTCTCAACCTTTCCGGAATCATTAGTTTTACTTGATTCTGATTCCCTTCCTGGTTTTCCCTTTCCCAGAAACACGGTCCGTGGTAGTTTGTTCTAACAAATTTACCTCAGTATCTGTATCATTCATGCCTCGCTTGCACACATCTTTATATTGTAGTAGAGACCAACCTCGACATCTAATTAAATTTAATGTCATGAGAATTTGCACCCCCCCCCCCCCCCCAGGTATAAGTAAAGATCCCTTTACACGCCCTTAGGCGCATCGGGCACATGGGAAGAGCACCCATATTTTTACAGACCAATCGGCACTCGGTGGGTAATGTGGTCAGCATTACGCCAGCCGTCTTTACTTTCCAAGGACAGCCCATCCTGGTACCCATTTGAGGCTGGGTCGACCTGCGACGTCCCATACCACAATAAAAATCCACGCAGCCCACGTAGGTTTCGATCGCGGTACGTTGGATTACGAGTCAGACTCGCAACGCCTTAGCCACGGACGCCACCCCAAAGGTATAGTTCCTGAAAAAAGAGAGGCCAGCCAGCTTAATGAACACAGGATATCTAGGACATCCTGTGTATGAAAGTTCTTGACTCAGGAGAGTTGACATGATACTTACTCAGTGGCTTTCCGGCAATCTGTGAGGAGTTTTTCTGCAAAGGACCTGCTAATTGATGTTTTTCTTAATTATTTCAGCAACACAGTTCAGGCCTTGCTAAGAAAGTATGGAATATGAAATCTGCAGATGATATTAATAAATGGCGGGAGGAAAGAAAGAGGTGAGTGCAGAAAATATTATAGTGTTGAGTTTGCATGTTTCTTAGTTCATTATTTTGTTTACTAGTAAACAACTTTTTTGTAGAGTTAATTTAGATTGTAATCAGCAGAATATTAACTGAATATTCATTTGCCAGGTAAATATTGAATGCTTTGATTGAAAGACAGAAATAGATAAGTTCTGTTGCACTCTCCTGCTTGTAAAGGAACAAAACAGTGACCGGCCTAACCAGATACATTATAGGTTAAGCAAGCTGAGATAAAATAAAATGCTGTCTGGCAACTTGTAAATAGCAGGCTCAACTTTGATAGACAGTATTTATACAAACTAAATTGACTGTGTTAGAGATTGCACAAACCAAGTGGACTATGTTATTTTAGAAGTTACACAAACCATATAGGTTGTGTATTTGTAGAAGCTATACACACCATGTGGGCTGTGTTGTAGTTTTTATAAAAGCCATATGGGCTGTGTATTTGTAGAGGTTATACAAACCATGTGGACTGTGTATTTGTAGAGGTTATACAAACCATGTGGGCTGTGTTTTTGTAGAGCTTATAGAAACCATGTGGGCTGTGTTTTTGTAGTGGTTATACAAACCACATTGACCATTTTTTAACCTTTAACCACTGTTAGCAACCAAATGGTTCCCTCTCTAAAAGTGTCGTCTTGATTGACATGACATACCCTTACATGTAAATAATAACCTCTGCTCTGAGATCTAAGAAAATTACCCATTATCATGTGGTTTTAGACCTTGTAACCATTTATGTTTTTGTCAACTACAGGAATTATCCCAAATTTTGGGGGGGGGGGGGGGGGGGGGGGGCTAGTAACCACTGACTCGGCTGTGTTTTCAAATCTTAAAAATTACCTAATATTGTGCGGGTTTTGCCCTGTAATCGATATCCCTTTTCTGTGTTGTGTAAATATTTTAACTAGCCTTCTGTGTGTTTTCCACATTTTAGGAATTATCCAACCAGTGACAATGTGGCCAAAAAGAAACAAGAAAAGGAAGAAAGGATTGCCAGAGGTGAAGTCCTACAGACCAGGGAGTTTGGGTGAGTTCTTCTGCATTCAGCCGTAAAAAGATGGTTGGTACACTGTATTGTAGCTTATGGCTAGACTGACTTCAGCACATTCAGTTTCAGGAAAACCTTGATTTGTCTTCTTGTACAACATACTTGTTAAGGTGGTAGTGGTTCTGTTCTTCCCCCCCCCCCCCCCCCCCCCCCCTCCCCTAAAATAGGGTTCGGAAACGCATACAGCAGAGTGAATTGTCTTTCATTAGGATGTCAATGAAAGTTCATCATCATCATCATCAAGTGCCTTGCCAGCTCGCCTAGGTGTTCATGCATCGCCACAGATCTGTCTTTGGTGTTCTGGATCAATTCCACTGATGATATTCCCCCATACCACTGTCTTAAATCATCCACCATCTCTTGCTACCAGTAATCTTTCTAGTCATCAACTTATTTTCCAGTGTTCCTTTTCTCATCATACGACTAAAGAACTTACACTTTTATATATCTTTATAGATTTCAAGAGTGAAAAAATTTACAATAAATTTGTTCAAAAAAAAATTTATTAGCAATCTGTGTAATATGTTTATTGTTTTTTTTTAAAAAGTATTTTTTTCTGGAATGTATATGTGTTTATGACCCATTTGTTTTAAGCATTCACACGGTAAAAGGGTTCAGAAACAGTGAATGCGTTTATGGATAAGTTGAGAGGTCAAGGTGGTAGAAAGGTATTTTCGCTTGCTTCTACCTTGGAGAGAGCCAAGTAAGGACAGTGTTTTCTGTAACATGGAGATTTATTCCATCCTAATTTCCACATACTTTTTCTTTATGATCCCTGGGCGCTGGAAAACAATGCACTAAATTAATTGAAAAACAGAAGAGCAAATGGTTTGATCGTCTCATTATAGTGTAGCCAGAACAACTTACAACACAGGCGCTGCACATAAACTGATCTGATGTGAAAGCAAGAGGTCGTCCTAGAAGATGAGTTGATGACATTAAAGACCTTCGACATTGGCACGAATGACATTAGCCGTTGCTACCTGTAACTCATCAAGCAATGAATCATAAGCTGTTTTAAGGATGAAAACCTGTTTTTAGTAAACTCTGGGGGGGGTTGATGGGGCAGGGGGAAGACCAAGAAATAATTACCTGGGAGCTTGATGGGGCAGGTGAAAGACAAAGAAATAAATACCTGGGGGCTTGATTGCATCTCACGAGCAGAGCAGACACACATACCTGAACCATGAGATGGCAAGCATGACTGCCTACACTTGTTGTTAGCGCAGTCATTAGGAGACTCGATTTCAAATCCAGCTGTGACTCGCTGCAGCCTACGGCTAGTGTTTGAAATCTGGCTGTTCCCTGGGCTCATCCAGTCTGTAGGTAATGGGTACCAGAGTTAACACTCTGGGGTAAATGAAGGAACGTCGCTGTTGCGTGCGGACGGCGACACAGGCGGACAGTTTCTTATCAGCTGCCCATACTGGTGGCAGAGCACTTATGGTTTATAACCGCATGCAATGACGCTGGTTCACATCTCCCGACCTTTACTTGTTGACAGAGGGAAAAAAATCATAACAAGAAAGGGGACAGTATCCTAGCAGATAGTCTGATTTGTCTTGTATGTGTTGTTCCCCTTCAACTCTTCTTTAAGCTTCTTATTTACAGTTGAGCGAATTGAATTTTTGGCATTAACTTGATGGCAGTTGCTCCTGTTTTCATACACTTGTTGACATGGCACATCATCATGAGCCTCAGATTGTTTTTATATAATTTTTTGTTTTAGGAAAATGTGGCAAGGGAGAGGTAGAGGTGGAAATAGAAGGAATGGAGGGCGTGGCCGGGGCAGAGGTCGTGGAAGAGGACGTTGGAGGGACTACGATAACGCTGAAAGAAATGATGATTACCCGCAGGCAGATGATGGCAGTGACAGCGAGGGCCCACCTGAGGAAAAAGGAATAGAGAAATCAACTGTAGATGAGGAGAATCTGGGTCAGCCAGGTAGGTTGTTTATCACTGAACACTTGTTTTCTCCTTTCTTTTTTTGTTGTTGCTGCCAGTCCCCAACGGCTGACCCGAGCTTCTCTCGTCTATGTTGTTATTCCCTGGGTGTGGGTTGTTAAATGAATGTGCCTGCAGTTGAGCTGGGCACAAATGAAAAGTTTTTATACAGTTGGATTTAGTCACCCATCACTTATAACCTGGCATAATGGCTACACGCCCGGGTGCGGATTGGAAAGTCGTGGGTTCGCTCCATGGCGGAGCTGGACTTTTTTCAAAAACGACCTTGACTCCCAGGTAGACTTAGCCTTGAGTGGGTGCAGTCCCGGAAAGTAAAGTGGACAAGCAACCATAATTTTTCGCTGGAGTTAACAGCCAGTTGTCACAAAGTTTTCAAATTTATTTTTCAGCCTTTCAAACTCTTTGAGTATCATCGTCCGCCTTAGGCGCCCTATGGTGGTTCTAGGACCTCATTCCAGGGGAGAAAAAGAATACACCCACTGCTCGCAGCCCACTGATTATCCATTAGTTAACAGTGTTGATGTGGCCTTCAATTAGGGGCGTTGTCTTTAATTTAAGATGTTGCCTTTAATTAGGGGCGTTGCCTTTTTTTAGGGGTGTCTTTAATTAAGGGGTCACTATACGGCATTTTTTCCAATTTATGACAAAAATATAACTTTTTCAATGTGTTAGTTTTTGTAAAGTTCGGCATTCGTAGAGTAGATTACACACAAAATTTATGTCATTTGTAAGCAATTTAGCTTTGAAAAGTTAAAGGCACCAACCCATGCACTTTTTAAGATAAAAAAAAGTTTAAAAGTCAGTTTTCTCACACCTCTATATTTTGGTTTGTTGTGTGTGTGAAATCCTTAAATCTCAGCTTATATGAAGACTAGAAATTCAGTATGGACACTCCTTAGACAATATTATAGGGACTTTTTTTTTTTTTTTTTCAAAAGTAGATTTTAGAAAGCTTTTGTTTTTTAAAATTTGATTATTGTCTTATGATGCAAGATTTTTTGGGGACTTTTTTCAATAAACCTACATTTTAAAATTCTACGAAAAATAATTAAAAACATGTTTAAAGTAAATAAACTACACCTGTACCTCTAAATAGAATAAAAGGTCATGAATCTATCATCTATTGTTTAATACAAATGAAATTTTAGGATTCTAGGTACATGGTGTTCTCTCCCACCCCCCCAAGATGACGGCTATTGCCATGACAACCATGACCCCCCGTGTGGGTTCCGGGGCCCCATTGAAAACAAGAATAGACCCATTGCCTCCCCACAATCATGTCGTAAGAGTCGTCTAATTGGGGAGCTTCCTTTGAAGTCGGAGTGCATCTGCCGGAGAGGCAAGGAATCAACAGTCTGTATTCAAGAGAATGAGATCTGTAAAACTGATGCACACGCAACACTCAGGTTCTGCAGGACTGCAGTTCTGCAGGACTGCAGTTCTGCAGGACTGCAGTTCTGCAGGACTGCAGTTCAGTAGTGGACGAGCAACCAGAACTTTCTGCCAGAGTTTACAGCTGGTGAACGCGAAGAAGAAGACAACTATAATTTTTTCACACTTAAAATATGCAAATCTAATAACATGTATCCCTTCAAATCACCATTATAAAATAATTTCTCCAACTCTGTAAATAATATAACAAAATTTGTGGGCGTAGTGCCCCCTTAAGCATGTTGCCTTTAATTAGAAGTGTTGTCTTTAATTAGGGACATTGTCTTTAATTAGTGCAGTTTCCTTTAACAAGAGGCAATAAATAAGGTAGGCACCCAAAAAAACAAAACCGAAAATGGGAAATGCGCTGTCTCTGCAAGGTCACTAACAACACAAGAAAAGACACTGTTACGAATAACATCATTAAAGAAAAAGTTGGAATAAGACCATGTCTTTAAAATTGGAGTACATCTGCTGAAAAGAGAGAAACCAACAGTCTACATTCAAATAAAACAGTTTTTTTAATGCAAGTGCGTGCACAAATTCTGGAACATGACTCAAGTCCATAAGTGGACAAACAACCAGAACTTTCCTCTGGAGTTTATAGCAGGTGAATGCAAAGAAGAAAAAGGAGATTGCTACAGATATCACCTGCCTCCATTTATCTCTGTGTTTTTAGGCCTGCCTGTATACTATCTTTCCTTCACCTTCTTGTTCTACCTTATGGTCTAGTCCCATTCAACTTTCCTCCTCACAAGTCTGCCAAATCTGGACTGTTTACATCAGCTCCTCTATATCACCAGATTTTGCATAGGGAAATTTAAGTTTTCAGCTTGCTTAGATTTTTAAAATCTTTCTTAAATAAATATTTTTGTTTAACACAGGTGTTGCTGGTGAGGTAGATGCAGGTACACCAGCATCCGAACTGCAGGCCCTTGTGCCCGCAGGTGAAAGTAAGAAGTTGATACAAGCGTTATCAGTGTATGGAGAGTCCTCATCTGATAGTCAGTCTTCTGATGATAAATGTGAACAGAGTCCAGTGGATTCAGGTGAGAATCTTGATCAACTCTTCCACGTCCAGACTTATCCATTTCTGGATATTTTCTTGGGTGAAAAGAAGTAATTTGGCTTCCATTTTGGGTGTGAACTATCACCTTATTTGCCTTGAGGCAACTGAGATGTGGTTTTTGAGAAGAATGTTGCAAATACCTTGGTCTGCCAGAATAACTAACAACGATTGCCTGGAAATTCCTAAAGAAAGTAAAACATTATATACACCAATGAGAAGGAGACAAAGTTCTTTGGTCATGTGATGAGAAAAGGAGCACTGGAAAGATCACTGGTAGAAGATATAAAGGCAGACTAAGAGAAATGATGGTGGATGGCTTAAGACAAAGGCATGGAGGAATATCATCAGTGGAATTGATCCCGAACACCAAAGACTGAGATCTGTGGAGATGCATGAAAGCCTGTGCCAGCTGCTGATGATGGTGGTGATCTCTTTCTTTAGCTCACTTCATTCATTCATATCAAGAATATTAATGACATCCTATGACATCTGGCACACACTCTGACATCTGGCACACATGCTAATAGCACAGTTAGCACACACAAAACAGTATGTATTTAATCCAATTATAAGATTACAGTTTTAGCTAATGTGGCATCTGCTGCTTAGAAATAAAAAAAAATATATAATTGGTTGCCACATTTCTGAGAGACAGCCCTAAAGTAACATCCATTCACTTTCCACATTTGGTTTATATTACTGTTACTGACGTGGTCTATTCTTTCATCTCTACATTGCTAAGTGCAGCATTGCATTCGTTAACACCTTAATGATGTAACCGATACATAATTGGGCATACATTTTCTGTTGGTCGTGTGGAAAATTCCGCTGACCTGTACGAGCACGTTGAAAAATACTGATATAATCAGTAGAACCTCAGTAACACCCCCCCCCCCCCACACACACGCACACACACACAATTTTTCTCTTGCCAGAGAATTTCCTGTTATCAATTTTTTTTAAGGCAGGGTAGATATGGTAGCCTAGGTCAGTTTGTAACATTTCACCTTGATGGGGATTGGAGCCTATGAGGTGGAGGTAATCTAATGGTTGAAACTGTTGTTGGGTTGGGAAGAACAAGACCTTAAGATATTATAGCAGCATAACATAATGAGGTGGGCTGACCATCTCCTTTTCCCACCACGTCTCTTTCCCAGTTACTGCTTCTCCTTTTGCCTTTACCGCTGTTGTGACCTAGAAAAAATAAAACAGTAACCCATAATTAAAGCATTGCTGAAAAAACCAACAACAAGCATGTAACACATGTCACCAAAAAATCCTAACAGTTTCATTTATTAACCAAAACAGTATTGAATTCCATCCAGAATACAGGAAGTCACTAGTAAACACAAATGCAGCAGAGAATTAACTAGGTTACATCTCTGTGAATATAAAAATAAATGTTTAACGTGAATCATTTTGACCCAGTCGCAGGTTAAACTCTGTCTATTGGGAAAATTACAGTTTTTGTTAAAAATCCATTTAAAAACAAACAGGAAAACCCTTCTAAAGGCTGTTATTAGTAATTATAGTCTTTTCCAGCACCATTAGTAATTATAGTCCTTCCTGGCGCCTCTAAATCTGTGCCTAGACATCTTATGAACAGTCCACTATAGCTAAGTCAGAAGAGGGACTCTGTCTGTCTTTCTTCCTCCATCTCTCTCTCTCTCTCTCTCTCTCTCTCTCTCTCTCTCTCTCTCTCTCTCTTGGGAATTGAGCTCAGCCTCGGGTGTTTGTTTTGCGGCTTCTCTATGTGGTAGAGTTAAAAGCAGTTGGCACATTGTGTTGCGGTTTACAGCTAAGCTGCATTAGCTGTGCAATTTTGACCCAGGCGCTTCGAAGAACTCTTTTATAATCTGCTTAGTGAGGGGCAGTGCTTAGTCAGGGGCAGTGCTTAGTCAGGGGCAGTGGACTTATTCTGTTTTCTTTTTAAAAAAAATGGGAGATCCCAGAAACAAAAATATGCACAGACACTTCCCAGAAAATTGTCTAATGATTGGCCCCAGGGACATACTGGGAAAAAGGGGGGGGGGGGGGTTGACTGCTGCCAGGCTTGAGCATTAAGCCCAGATCAGTGTTTCAGTAGGCAAACACAAAGAACCCTAACTATGTCATCACATCTTGCATTACGCCACGTAAAGTGTGGGCTTAATACTAAATATAAGACGTACATTATTGCATGTAAATCGGCATTACTTTTATCATTCACTAATATTATTAATCTACATTTATTTGATGATTCAGATACGAAGCCTGTCACTCAGTCAACGACCAGTCCCTCTGAGTTGCTTTCACCGTTGAAGTCTACAGAAACACCTTCAGTTAATGGAATATCATCATCATGTACCACACCATCTGTAGATCTACAGAATCAGGCTACCTCACTTGAGTCAGGCCAGCAAGGAGTTAATGGAATCTGCTCCAGTAGTCCTCACAAACCATCATCTGTGTCTTCTCCAAGTATCAGCTTAAAAGATGTTCCTGAGCCTAGCCCCAGCTCAGTCTCTGGTCAGCATCAGAAGCACAAGAACCAGAGCAGGGGACAAAATGGTAGGAACCACAATGAAAAACAAGGCAACAAGCGGGCTGCCGGCTCTGAACAGGAGAATGACGCACCCTACAAAAAGAAGAAGGGACAGACAAGGCAGCCGGTGCACAGATATACCCTTCTAGAAAAGGTAAGAAACAAGCCTGTCTGCTTCTCTTCTTTATTCTTCTTCTTCTGCTGCTGTTGCATCTTCTTCTTCTGCTGCTGTTGCATCTTCTCCTTCTGCGCATGTTTATTGCTTTGTGGAAGAAGTATCCCAGATTTTTCTCAAGCAGTGATCCCCAGTTAGCTAAGATCTGCAAACCTGTCTTATTTTGTAGTCTGCGGCAGACCCCTGACTTTTTAATAGTCACACTAAACCACTTTTTTAAAAAAATTGGTAGATATTAGAATCACAGAAAATACTGTAAATTAAAGTGTTTTTTGGGTACTTAATTTTTAATTAACCCCAAAAGGAAATGGAATTCCCGGGAAAGTCCAATATTCTAAGGCTGATGTGGGTTAGGGTAAGTTGTCACTGAGACGGTCAGGGCTGAGAAAGATTCTGAAACCCATAACACCCCTATGTCATTGGACTTTACTTTACCTGAAACTTTAGGATATCCTTTGTTTGAGGCGAATTAAAATTAACTGCCTATTGACTTTTAAATATAGTTATTCTAAAAGATGTCGCTATCCTTGTCCTGTTGTGCCATTATATGTCACATAGGGCTTGCAGTCTTTTCCTGTCTTCTGTTCTATCTTGTGCAATGCCTTTATTATCTTGGATGGAATCCAGTCCAGCACCTTTGGTCTCTCTGATCGTTTATTTTAAGGTTTCCTGGGACGTCCTTGCCTCCTAGGTCATTTTTTACAGTTAGCATCCACAAGACCCCATCAGCAGACGCAACAGAAAGCAGCATGCAACAATTTTCCGTCTACGAACAGGACACTGCAGGCTCAACTACCACATGCATAAAATAAAGATTGTACAGTCCCCCCAGTGTGCCTGTCAAACAGGATTAAAAACACCTGAGCACATTTTGTAGACCTGCTTACTCTACATATAACTTCGAAAAGACACCTGGCCTCAAAAGCAAAGTGCAGAGCAAGCTATGGGGAACCATGAAGGACCTGCTACAGACATACGAGTTTGTAGAGGCAATTGGCCTGATGCTCTGATCTAAACATACGAAAACGAACGCAAAAAAAAAAAGAAGAAGAGTTATCCCCCCCCCCCCCAATTTGGCGATTCTCTGCTCGTTTCTACTCAAGATGTGTCCAGTCTAGCACTGTCTTCTTTATCATAAAACTCTTGCCAGTGGTTGTCCAAACATTTCTCTTCTTTCTTAACCCCTCTTAAATTCATTTCAATTTGATTTAACATTTTCCTCAAGCATTTTTTTTTTTTTTTAAATTTAACTTTCCTTCCATATCTTAAATGGTTCTCCAGCTGTCACTGGCAGAAATTAAAATTTAAATAATATGGTTCTGTGTGGGTTCTGTGGCCCTATTCTAGGGGGAAAAAAAGAGTAAACCCACTGGTCTTTCCTCCCACACAAGCAAGTCATAAAAGGTGATTAAATTGTGGTGTTTCATTTAAAGTCAGTGTGCATCTGCCTGAGAGGCAGGGAACCCCAGCCTGCATGCAAATAAGCCAGATCTGTTTAATTGTTGTGTTTGCAAACTCAAGTTCTGGAACAGAATTGGACAGGCAATCGAAGAAATATCACAGTATCATAGACCCCTTTCATTTGTTCTATGGACCAATCAAGTGGGAAGGGGGGGGGGGGGGGGGGCTGTTTTTATAGCATGCGTTTGTGGCAGTAGACGTATTACAGATCATAATTATTATGCATAAGTAGCATGCTGTATATATTTATGAATAGGAAGGCAGCAGCATATTTATTTGTCTGTTTTCTTCCTTTCTCTATTAAAGATGCTGGCACCTGACATGAGAAGAGAAAGGAATAAAATCCTTCAGTGTGCCCACTACATTGTCAAGAACAAGTTCTTTGAGTCAGAACCGGCCACAAGTACAGTGGTGTAAACAATTTATTAGATTGTGGCAGTGTGTGTATGAATGCCAGCTTATTCTGGATGTGAGCAGGTTCATTCTGGATGTGAGCAGGTTCATTCTGGATGTGAGCAAGTTCATTCTGGATGTGAGCATGTTCATTCTGGATGAGAGCATGTTCATTCTGGATGAGAGCATGTTCATTCTGGATGTGAGCAGGTTCATTCTGGATGTGAGCACGTTCATTCTGGATGTGAGCACGTTCATTCTGGATGTGAGCACGTTCATTCTGGATGTGAGCACGTTCATTCTGGATGTGAGCACGTTCATTCTGGATGTGAGCACGTTCATTCTGGATGTGAGCACGTTCATTCTGGATGAGAGCATGTTCATTCTGGATGAGAGCATGTTCATTCTGGATGAGAGCATGTTCATTCTGGATGTGAGCAGGTTCATTCTGGATGTGAGCATGTTCATTCTGGATGAGAGCAGGTTCATTCTGGATGTGAGCAGGTTCATTCTGAATGTGAGCAGGTTCATTCTGGATGTGAGCAGGTTCATTCTGGATGTGAGCAAGTTCATTCTGGATGTGAGCAGGTTCATTCTGGATGTGAGCAGGTTCATTCTGGATGTGAGCATGTTCATTCTGGATGTGAGCAGGTTCATTCTGGATGTGAGCAGGTTCATTCTGGATGTGAGCAGGTTCATTCTGGATGTGAGCAGGTTCATTCTGGATGTGAGCAGGTTCATTCTGGATGTGAGCATGTTCATTCTGGATGTGAGCATGTTCATTCTGGATGTGAGCATGTTCATTCTGGATGTGAGCAAGTTCATTCTGGATGTGAGCAGGTTCATTCTGGATGTGAGCAGGTTCATTCTGGATGTGAGCATGTTCATTCTGGATGTGAGCAGGTTCATTCTGGATGTGAGCAGGTTCATTCTGGATGTGAGCAGGTTCATTCTGGATGTGAGCAGGTTCATTCTGGATGTGAGCAGGTTCATTCTGGATGTGAGCATGTTCATTCTGGATGTGAGCATGTTCATTCTGGATGTGAGCATGTTCATTCTGGATGTGAGCAGGTTCATTCTGGATGTGAGCAGGTTCATTCTGGATGTGAGCAGGTTCATTCTGGATGAGAGCAGGTTCATTCTGGATGAGAGCAGGTTCATTCTGGATGTGAGCATGTTCATTCTGGATGAAAGCACGTTCTCCGATGCGCCGAAAGGCGTGAAAAGGGAACTTTTTTTTTTTACAGTAGCTGTAGTGATCCTCTCTTTGAAGGACTAGATGTTTCATGTCATCTCAGTGTCATCTAAGCTTCAGGGTAGCATGAAACTGTAAAACTTCTCTGAACATTTGAAGAAGCTACAGGTCTATTTTCATTCAATAATTCTTTTCTCATAACAGTTTAAATCATGGCAGTCATTCTTAATGCCCTTGTATTTTGACTGGGTGAAGGTCTCCCTTCGATACTAGGAGTCCTTTTTAGAAAGGAAAAAATAATATTTTAGCTAATGGAAAATAGGGTGTTATTTTATATTAATTACTTTTGGAATATTATTGGATTGTCTGAAAACCTCTTTTCCTCACCATCTTCGAAAAGAGGCTCTTAAGGGTTTTGTGCAGTAGAAGATAAAACGTGAGTCTCCACTACTAGAGGCAGGACACAGAACATTATGCTCTGTTTTGTGCAGTATTTAATAAGTTTAGAACTATTTCCTGATACTGTTACGATAGTGTGAGGTGTTAAAGCATAAGAGGTAGTACCATACAGAAGAATGTGTCGTATGTCATGGCAACAAAAGCTGTCAAATGCAGTTTCTGGAGCGATTGGAAATTAAAAGAGAGTTGCTGAAAGAAATTTTAACACAAAACTGAAGATAAATATTTTGGTCCTTCAGAAGAAATACTGTTATAAAAACTCCACCGGTGAGAAAGCCAAAAGCAAGAGGTAGACCACATTACAAATGGGAGGACAACATTTAAAAAATGGACAAACAGCAGTCTGTGACAGAGTACAGCCAAACTGAGGGAAAGAGTGTTTTGGAGATCCATTGCAGCCAGCCTTCTTAGGAAACTGCACTTCATTAATTGAATGAACAAAATCAGAATTGGTTGGATAACTACAGCTTCTGGCGTTACTTTTGATTTATGGAGGTGTTATACCAGCTGTAGTGAGTGAATGTTAGGTTGTTTTAGTGTCACTTACGTGAAATGTAAATAAATACAGTTGCTTCATCAATCTGTTTCTTGTCGCTTATAATTCGATTATGCTTGATTAAAATGTCATGAGCCAACGTAGCACGGTGTTGAGATTCTTGCGTCTCTGTCCAAAGGAGCTGGGTTTAAGTCCGCTCAAGGGTGAAAATTTTATAACTGACCCAAAGCAGTGGCTGTCAACCTTCCCAATGCCACAACCCTTTAATAAAGTTCCTGGTGTTGTGATGACACCCAACCATAGTTACTTTTGTTACTTCTTCATGACTTCAGTAAATATGTCTTCCAATGGTCTTTGGCGACGCCTGTGAAAGGGGCGTTTGACCCACAAAAGAAGGGTCATGACCCGCAGGTTGAGAACCACTGACCTAAAGCTACTATGTTGAAGAGTCTAAAATATGTACCATGGATGCACAATACTGACACTTTTTTTTTAAACAACTGTTACGGTAGTGGACACTGTGATGGGTAGCGGCACTTCCCCCCAATCAATTAGTGGTGAGTACTGGTACCTTTTGTTTAACCCCCCCAAAAAAACCCGGCCTAGGTACCAGGAAAGTAATGGTGGCTGGCATGGTGCCACTATGATTACCTGCTGTGTGCCGATCAATCTATAAAATTCTGGGTCTAATACCTTATGCACCAACAGCAAATGTGGCTCTTCAAGCACTGGGTCACAAACTGTTCCTCCCCATAACGCTTAACAGCAGAAGCGGAGAATGATGATAATGATGATGACCATATGCACAGAAAAAGTTTTGAAACAAAAATAATTACCACCCCTCACACTGACATAGTTCATATAGCTCACTGGTGTTTAGTCTGACGAGAGAGACAGATGGGGGGGGGGGGGCGCTAGGAAACTTCACAGATGGAAAAGAAATGACATGCAGAAAACTTCTGTTTCAAGCAGTTTTTAACATCTCTTCTTTGTCTCCTCTTTATCCTGTCTCATTTTCTCTAGATTTCCTTACCCTCTCCTCTCTCTCATTTTTCTCTTCCTCCTCCTCTCCCTCTTCCCCAACTTTTTCTTGTTTTTCTACATTTGCTGTTCTGCCCCTTTTTTCTAGTGGTTGTGTCCAGTACACTTGAAATTGTGTTATGTTTGGGGGAGTGGGAGGGGTTTCATCATGGGGCTGGTGGTTTTTTTTCTTTGATGTGTTGTTATATTTGTTAGCAATTCTGGCATATTTTTACTGTCTTGTTTCCCTACCTGCCCCCTCTCTTTATTTATCTATGTTTGTAACCTCCTTCCTTCCCTATTTCTCTAAAGCCAGTCTTACTCAAGGAACAACAAATGAAGTGGTTTGGACACTTCACAACAATGCCCTGGTACTATCTGCCACAGCGAGCCACACTAAAATGTTACAACGGGTATAGAGCGAGTGGAAGACCTACAAATATATGGAGGGATGGCATTAAAAACAGCCTTACAAAAATGAACATCAGTCTTAATAATGCTTTTGACAGTGCTCATCAGCGAATGTTACATCCCTTTCCAACACTTCGCTGAGCAACAGGGTGGAAGAGAAGAAGAAGAAGAAGTGCCAGTTTAGTGATTCACTGCTTGTTTTTTCTCAGGATGTGTCTAGTCTTGCACCATTTTTGTCTTTCAGCTGTTTTTAACCCGCGGTTGCCCAGACATTTCTCTTATTTCTTCATCCAACCTGAATTCATCCTATTTTATGTTCAACATATCAGGCATTTGAAGTTTCATGCTATGTCTTTAGTGGTTCTTTAACTTTCACTGACATATGTTCAAACTGAAATAACATTAGAATAAAAAATACTTAACTTGGTAGTAAAACTATACAAATTACAGTTCCATATTTTGATCAGGACTTTAAAAGTTGCCGATACCTTTCCAACGCCTGTCATAATCATAACATCAAATGAATGGCAGGACACATCCATCATCATTTTATGTCACATAGGTAAAAAAAAAAGTTCCCTTTTCACGCCTTTCGGCGCATCGGGCATATGGGCAGAGCGTCCCATATTTTTACAGACCATCAGCACTCTGTAGGTAATGTGGTCAGCATTACGCCGGCTGTCTTTACTTTTCCAGGACAGCCCATCCTGGTACCCAATGTTACATAGGGCTTACAGTTAATTCCTCGGCTGGCTGGTCTATCTCATGCAGTTCTTTTGATATAATCTGTATGGAATCTGCACATTGCCCATGTGGGTTCTGGGGCCAGATGGGGAAAGGGGGTTTCAGACCCATTTCATATCATAAAGGGCTGCTTATTAGAAATATAATGAAATTGGATGTGTTGGGTCAAAAGGCGCAAATAACCTAGGCTATCTGTAAGTACTGGAGTTGCCATGGCAGAGCGGCTTTCGCGCGCTGCGGATTGGAAGGTCGTGGTTTCGCTCCTTGGGGGAGCCGGACTTTACTTCAAAAATGACCTTGGCTCCCTGGTCGACCCAGCCTTGAGTGGGTACCTGGAAGTAGAGGCGGCAGGCGTGATCCTGACCACATCACCCATCTTGTGCCGTTAGTCTATAAAATATAGGTCTAGCCCTATATGCCCTATACGCCTAAAGGCGTGGAAAAGGCTCCTTTACTTTTTTTTTACTTTACTTACTATCTATAAGTACAAGGCAAGGTGCTAACCTGTTTTTTTTTTAAAAGTTAACACTGTTTACTGGAAAAAAGACACAGGAATAGGTAGTCAATGTAGTGAAAGAAACGGAAAAGTTAAGGTCAAAACAAAAAAGGCGTGTTGAAAAATGACTAATTGAGAGCCAGTAAGGCAATTATGTTCACCTGTCATAATAATACAATTTTGGGATAGCTGATGATTCACAG